GGGGTGATTAAGCTAATCATATACCACAAATGAAGAAAAAAACTCGGGCAATCTTTTTGGTGCTATACCATATGTTCTTAAATTACAATCATATGTTATTTTCCTATTACTTCCTCCAAAAACATTCCTTATAAATAGATTTAAACGTATTGGTAAATATAGAGATGCACAAGCCAGGAGCACTCATATTCTACTTTCCTATATATACCAAATTTCAAAGATTAACATAACTGAACACAAGTGAAAAAATAATATAGAGGAATTCTAAAAAATAAAACTAAATTAATTTTGAAAAGCTGAAACGAATTAAATTTCTTACTTGAATAAGATTCTTCCATGGAATTTTAGGCTCAAATAACCCTAGTTTTTCAAAGCATATCAGTGGCTTGGAGATAATAAGCACTAACAAATGCTTTCCGGTAGATTTTTGGTGTAGAATTGGAAATTTTCTTCAAAACGCCGTGGAACGCTGGCCCTGGGGAGCTTTTTGCGTTAAGCTGTGCTAGAAAATAGCGATGAACGTTAGGCAAAAAACGCAGATCTATTTTAGCGCAAAACAAACGGTGGAGTAAAATAGATCGCGCGTTTCCACCCAAAACGCCTATCCCAAACATGCCCTTAGAAAAGTTTTGAGACTTTTCCGACAATCTCTTTTATCTTTAAGAAACTAATTGAAACTTCTAGAAGAAATGAAGGTAGAAACAAAACTCCTAGAAGAAATGAAGTCTGGAGCATACATGATATCAAGAACAAACCCGTTCCTTTCACATGTGCTGAGGACATTATCAAGAAGTGACCAAATGGTGGACACAAAAGTGGCTGTGGCAAGGATTTGTCCCAGGACAGTTAACAGAGAGTTGAAAAGATCATTGCAGCGGTCAATGGGACCTATATATAGTCACACTTGGTTGACCATATATTATTTTCGTAATTTTTTTATCGTACTTTCAACATCCAAGTGCGACAGAGGGAGAGAGGAGTAAATGAGGGCATTCGTGTGGATCCGGGAGTCACATCACGTATGTAGGTCTATATCTTTGGCGGGTTAACACGGGCATTCTCATTCGAATTCAATCCACGATTCTATATGTCCTTTATTTCGGTCTCCTTCGAGTTAAACAACATAATCTTACCGTCAGAAGCCATGGGGGAAGAGAGGACGGGGTCAGAATGTGGAGGATTCTCTATGCCCTGCTCTTTGCTCTTTTGGAACAATGGTGCATTCTCATCGGGATCTGAACTAGAATCGAAGGGAGCCAAGGGATGCAAGAAGTGATTTGAGGAAGAGCGGGGTAGAGGGAGAATTCTGAATTCAATTCGGATGAGAATGCCCATGTTAACTCACCAAAGATATAGACCTACATACGTGATGAGACTCCTGGATCCACATGGAGGTCTAAATAGTAGTTAGGGGTAAAAATTTGAAGGAAACTATAAAAACAGATTCAAATGATACTCTCAAACCTTTATTCCAAACAATATTCAAGCAAAACATGGGACTTTGAGAAATTGTCATGAAAACAGTTCGATTGAACAGAATATAGAAAACTCAGCTCAAATTTCAAACCACACAACTTGAAGACACTCTATAATGCAAATGCAATAAGTAAAATGAGCTTGACAATTCAAAAGATAGAAAATGTGTTTCATTTGTAAAGCTAGTATGTTCTTGAAAATGAAATTGTGGGTTGAAATCTTGTTCTCAAACTGATTGTTAAAAACTCTCTTTAAAACTGT